CCCCCCCCGCAGTACCGAGGCCGTCGTCGTGGAGAGGCGGACGGGCGGCGGGAGCGAGGCGCCCTGCGAGCTGCATCTGGAGTGCCGGCCCGCCGGCGCCGGGGAGATGGTCTCCGTCGGTATCCTGAGCGAGGCCCGGAACATGGAGGTCTACGTGGGCGAGGAGTACTGCGGGACCGGCCGGGGAGAGAGCCTGGGCGCTGCCCGGTCCCCGGGGTGAGTGGCGGCCTCTGGCCGCGGCCCTGGCGGGCACCGGGGGGTGCCTGCAGCAGCGGGAGGCGGCCGTCGACCTGGGGGGGGTTGCTCCTGGGTCCCTAACAGCGTCTGGCCCTTCTCTGACTGGCAACGTCGTTCTCTGCCTGTGTATCTGTAAGGTGCTCCTACTAGTAAAGACCTGATGTCTGCACCACGAAAGCCACCCGGTTTGGTCTTTCTGGAAGGTCTCTGCAAACCTGGTGAACGGGCACAGGCACTGCGGGCGCCTGGGATAACCCTGGTGTTCTCCTCACAGTTACGGGTGGCTTGCACGAATGCTGCCTCTTTGATAAAGATAAAAGGCTGCAGTTACGCTAGTTACCTTTTTGTTCTTCTGTAATTAGCGAAACGTTCAATTCAGTAAGTTATAAAGTGCCACTCTGAAATTCTGTTGGGTAAGACTACAGAAGGAGTTAGGGCAGGTGCAACATTTCTGTATCGTTTAATCTTTCTGGACAACAGATCTGCTCATCTCTTCAGCAGATCTATTTTAGCTGATCTTTACAAAAGACCTCTTGTCTATTTGATATGTAGTCATCTCGCACTTTTAAGAACAAGAGAGAAAATAAAAAAATCAAAGAAGGATTTCTTTTCCCCTTCAATGTTTCCTTCCATGCTTTGCCAGGGGAATTAAAGCAATGTCTTCTCTTTTGTTTTTAAGTCGTTACATGCCACATCTGCTGCTTAATTAGCTAAATAAAAATGGCCGACTCAGAGCCTCAGGGAAGATGTGTGAATAATGTACTGAACCTCAAAAGCTTCCCTAGTAGATAATGTACGTACACATACAAATCCTTTTTTACATACATATCTGATAAGATTCTATACAAGTTGCATAGAAGCATTAAAACTGCTATACCACATTAGAAATATGTTCCAGCCAGTCTTGTTTCTTATCTAAATATTTAATGATACACAGTATTTCTACTAAAGAAAAAAGTACTTTATATAGTGATGTCACAGCTCGTTTATTTTATTTTTTCTAGCGAAACTGAAAAGGTTACTTTGTACAAAAAGTACCTTAAGTTTGAATGCCCTGCAGCCTCCTGTAGAATTAAGGTAGGGAGTTGAACAGAATTGTTTTATTTTTCTTTGTCTTTTTAATCACTTAATGGACTAAATTGCATTGCTCTTACTCAAATTATTGTTTTTATACACTTCATTACTTCATATAATCACTTAAAAATCTGTTAGGTAGTACTTTGTCTTGACAGAGTTGTCCTTTTAAATTTGTATCACAGTTTTCTTATGAAGACTTGATATTTATATGAGAGAGACAATACAGTCTTAGAGGAAAAAAACTTCATAAACCAGATAAACTGCAGATAATCAACAGTTGCTATGTAATTAGAACTGTTAACTCTGATGCGGTTAAACAACCTTATGAAAATCTGTATGGCCACTGCTCTTAAGTGGTTAGAAGATCAAGGCCTGGTTTATCTTTGAGTCATGCAGACACTTCTGTTACAGTCAGAATTTTTCAAAGAGTAATAGCAAGGAGAAATCGGCTTAATTTCCCTGGAAAAGAGTTCAGCATTGTTTTTCCCAAGACTCAAAGAATAATGCATTGTCCCATACATACAAAGAAAACATGAAACTATTTTTTTCCTAACCAAAATACTTTTTCTCCTTCTTGCAATAGCTGCTCTCCATTGGTGAGAAACAAAGAGTACTCATCAGTAAAATAATTGTACAAGTGAAAGCAGTGTCTGCAAAACTAGCAACTGATTTTCCTTCACTAGGCTCAAGCATAGATCTAGACAGAGTGCAAACTATAATGGAGTCTATGGGATCTAAGTTGTCTCCAGGTGCTCAGCAACTCATGGACATGGTCCGATGTCAGCAGAAAGTAAGTCACTCTGCTTTTCCATAAACATAAATGGTACTGATCTGTGACCGTACCTTCTGTAATGGTTAAGATGATTTGATGAAGAAGATTTTTTGTTTTATTTTTTTTTAACGCACTTGGCTTTCTGCCAATTTAATCCTGGTTTAACTATTGCCACCCTTAAATGAGTGCAGTGAATAAAGATCGTGTACTCAGGGAATCACTGTGCATACATCAAGTCCAGAGTTAAAAACTGTGTCATCATCATTTTAAACTTCACTGCCACCCTGCTCTCCTTTTGTTTGTTTCCATTGTCGCTGCTTGTCAAGGATAGTGGGCATGTTCACTGTAACGTCTGGGGTGTAGGTTAGATGGGCCGGTTTGTCTCCTTTATGGTTGTTAAAAGGCTGTCACCTTCAACTAAAGGGAACGTGCTCTTACAGAGTTTATTTGATTTAGATTCTAGTCCTGCAAAGTAGGCTATTTCAGCAGAATCCTGAATCCATCTGATGTTAAAAATGTTCTGTCCTGGGGACATAGCATGGTAAAAATGAAGTCAGTAAAACTGTTTTGTTACTTAGAAACTGACAAGATACTTAATGCATAATATGTACAGGGAAAATATTTTCCTATGCTTTTTCCTAAGAATAGAATTCAGAACTACTTGTAAAATCTTTACATCACAGTAGTAGAATGCTGAGTTATAAAGTATCTATTGCTATTATTGTATAATTTCAAGTATATTTTAATACTTAAATATTAATCGTATTGTTTTTCTTTCCATTAGAACAGTTTACCTCTTGGAGACAAACTTAATTGGATCTTTGGGAAAAATTCAGACTTTGGAGGTGACCATGCAATAGATGGATTGCGCAGTGCAGCTATTCAGACATTGCTAGATCAATCAGCCAGTGAACCTTTGCCTGTTAAAAAGCAGTTAACAAGTGAAACAATATATGAAGACGTAAAAATAAGTCATGATCTGAACACACAGGTACCCGAAAGAGGGAATACTTTTGATTCTGACAGACTTACTACCCAGCAAAATACAGTTGACCTCAGAAATGATTTTAAAGTCATGGGATCTTTGCGTATGCAGGAACAAGTGAGCGAAACCCCAAATGTAGCTAATCCACAGGTGCTTCTTCCTTTTCTTCAAAACTTATGTAGTCAGGTAAATCGTCTTCGGCTAAAAGATGGCGATAGGCATTTTGGTAAAAATGCAGTGACTAAAGAGGAAGGCATTCAGTGTGTTGGGTAAGTTAAGTTTGGTAAACTTATTAAAGTAGTAGTTTGACTATTTATTGACAAGTTTAAAAAATAAACAAGATCATCATGTAAGCATTTTATTCTCATTAACAGTAATTGTGAATCTTAAAATATGTGGTTTTGAAGGCTGTGTGGCGATGAACATGATTACAATTAATTTTTCAGATGACTTGCTTGAATATAGGAGATTTTTCAGAAGAAATCGCATCATTTGTTACTAAATTGTTTGTGTCTTTTTTGCCTCCATTTCACATTTTATGATTTAAAAAAAAGTCTGGTCTTTCTGCAATTTCATATACGTTTAGTTTGTCTTTCTTGTCTGTTCCTACATTTTCATTTTGACTACTTCTACCTCCTGATTCTTATCTCTTCTTTTTTTCACACTGTGCACCATGATCTTTCTGCTGTATTCAGTGTATCTCATCCCACCCATCTTTCCTGTCCCTCCTCATTTGTTGGCGTTTACAGTGCAAACTTCATAGTAGTAGAGCACCCAGTTTGATACCTAAGGAGCAATAGTGGAAATGGCGAGATGTAGGAATTGGGGTTCTAACAAAGCCTGAATATCTCCAGCTCCTGGGAAAGTGCAGTATTTTTAAAGAATGCAGATGCAAAAATAAAGAATTGCATAGTTTGTATAACTCTTGAAAGACTTTAGCTGAGAAGAATAAAGTCTGCCATACTGACAGAATTTGAACTCTGTATACTGTTGAGTTGCATGGATTTTGTCATACATAAATAAGCTGTCTGAGCCTTTGAAAAAATCGGGTTGAAAGAAGATGGCTATACACCCTAGCATGTTTCTAAAAAAACTCCTGAGATTTAATGTGGCAGGTGGGCAAGGTATTTTACTTGTGCTAAAAACCTAATACCTTCTGAAGTTTGTTGTCTAATAAATGAGATTTTAAATTGAAAAGAAGTTCAAGTGCCCAGATCTCTGTCATGCTCCTTGCCATTAAGAAATAGGTTATACTTATTCTTATATTTGCTCTTTTCACAGGGTAGAACAACAGCCTATTTGCTCCTATTTGGAAAAGATTATCTCAAAAAATATGGATCTGATGGAGAAAAAACTAATGGACTATATTGATCGCCAAATCCAGGCTCTTCAGACTCATATAGATAACAAAATGGTTCTCTTAATGGACTTGGTTCAGAACTCAAAGCCAAACAAAATTTCACAAGCGCACTATGATTCTAACGAAGGGTTCTCTAATGGAGAGAGATAGATGTATATAGATATAGGACTTCAGTGTAAGTACTTTAAGAGCAATTATACTTTACAAAGCTTAGTATTTATGGAGTTATAACTGTAAAGAACCTCAGTGTTGTTGACTTGCATTTTGTTACTGTAATTCTATCCACTATTGTACACATTTGTTAGTTTTATGAAAGTTCTTAAGAATGTGTGGGTTTTTTCCTAAATATAAGAATTTTGTATGCCCTTTGTGGCTTATTTATTTAAAGAGCATTGTTCAAAGCCGTATGAAACAGTTTCCCAGTTTCAGTTCGAACAATGGAGAAGTACTCTAAATAAACTGAGTTACAGCTTATCTTTTTACCTACGTGTAATCAGTTCACTTTTTTGTTGTCTTGATTTTTTTTGTGTGTGTGTAACATGTTACCAGTAGAACAGAATGTAGTTTCTTTGTGCTTTTAGTTTATTTTAACGGCACTCCTGTGAAGATGTTTATTACTCCATCTATAAGAGGAAGGGTAGTACTGGCATTACCTAACTTAGACTGTTTAAGGAGTCAGGTTTAGAAAGACAGGCTAACTTGAGCCCCAGCCTGGGTTCTTTGAAAGCCTTGCTGGCTGTACAGGCACTAAGTTAGGAATCTAGGCTCCTCAAGTGATGCCTAAAACAAGACTGTCATTATACTTTTTCCCTCCTTAGTTAATTGAGCCATGCAGGAACAACTGAAATGAATGTATACTTGCAGACTTCTATTTATCCGTGTTTCATTATCCTAAGAAATGTAAGTACTTCATTTATGGTTCCTCTCAAGGGGATTTTTTTTGCCAGATAGAATGTGCTGGGGTAGGTAGGATCTGCTGCATTTCACCAACCTTAGGCCAGAGAATTAGCCTTATTGCATCATATTTACTTCAGCCTGTTGGGATCAGTTCTGCTGTCACTTGGGGAGGTAGAAATGTGACTCGGAAGTCCCTCTTGTGGAAGGTCAAGTTTCATTCTTCATTCTCTTTATTGCTCTTTGAATTCTGGGGTGCACCATTTCACTTGGACTGTATAGAGACTTAATGGTAAACTCCTAGTTTGTATTCAGTGTCTTAAAATGCATTGAGCAAAAGCTGTTGATGGGGAAGCAAGTGTTGACTGAGCAAGCAGCATAGGCACATACAATCCGGTATCTTTATCTAGTCTAGTATTTTCTTCTTCTCCCTGAAAACTGATGTCTTTTGAAGACTGTCAGATCTTGATGGTAGCATCCCACAGGAGGAGATTTTTGAAGAGAGGGTAGTTAGCTTTGAACAGACATCTCGCGGTTGTCCCTCAGCTTAACTCATGCCAGGCGCAGTTTCAGAGTGGTTCAAAAAGATAAAAAGATAATTTTTATTTTTGAAGAAAAAAGGACCTAAGTTATCTTGTACTTTACAAGTCCTTTTAGACCTGTAAAGTTAGTTTTTACTTCCTTTATAAGAAACACCCTGAGGTAGACACTTACATGCTTTTTCATCTTGGTGATTTAAGATAGAGTACTAGGTTGAGAGGGTTTAATTACAAAAAAAGTTGAAATATGTTTCCAAGCATTGTTGTGTTCCAAGGCTGTTAGTTTATTGATTTTTGTTTGGTTTGGGTTTTTTTCCCTCTCCCCTCTTTGGGTGTCAAATCTGAATAGAAGTTGACACAAATTCAGAATATCCTGAAGTAGTTAATAGGAGCTCTGGAGTTTTTGGTAGCTGTATCCTGTTTGGCGACTGTGATATTTTAGTATCACAGCTACCACAATGATAATATTTGAAATTAAAACCACAAATGAAAGAGTGTAGAAGTTGTATTGTTGCAGGTTCAGTGTTTCTTCAGGATCTGCTTTAGTGAGGGATTCTGTGTAGAGAAAAAATAAAGTGGGATGTTTAAAGTTTGGAATACCATGTCATTTCAATGAAAATTAAACAAGCATTTTTTTTCAGATATTTCTGTTCTGAGGAGTTGACCCACACCAACTGCAAATTCTGAATCTGTAGTACTGAAGAGTTGTAAAAATTTGTAATAATCACGCAGAATAGCATCGCAACGTTAACAAATTCTTTGGTATTGCTGTAGCCAAGTTTCTGCCAAGCAGTGCTGTCATTATCTTTAGAGATAGATGGGAGACATATTGCTGAAGCAAAGCTGGGCAAAAAAGAAACTTGTCGTTCTAACTCTGTCCCTTCTAATGGTTTACTAGCTGGTCCTTGGTAAAACTCATTACTTTTCTGTAAATCATGAAAGATACTGTGGGAATTAATCTATATTTTATAATACTTTGAGTGATTTATTTGCACTTGCATCCTTTTCACATTATTCATGTGTCCGGTTTCTAGCATATGGATGCAAAGTCTTTCACTATTAAAAGAAAAGGGAACATGTTTAAAAAGCTGCTAGAGTTCAAAGAGGTTAATAATTATTTTAAAAAGGAAGAAAATGTTTATTACTATTAAGAGTGTGATTAATACTTCTTAGATCTGACACCTGAAAGCATATGGCACATTGTTCTAACTTCTATTGAGCACAAAGCTTCACCTGAGAAAAGCACAATGAGCACAGTGGGAGTAACAATACAAGCTTTTTCAAATAGCTTTTCCATGTTTTGTAGTCTATGTTAGCTGTCTACTCATCTAGACCACTGTAAAGCAGACTGCAAATTGTGCGAAAGAGTATGTCAGATGGGGGCACTAAAGCTTAGTTGTCTTAAACAGCTTTGCTGCTCTAATTTAAAAGCATGGTGTTCTTGTGTTCTGCTCCAGTGGCTGTCCTCTTCATATTTTTGTTCTAATAGGCAATATGTACAGTGTGAGGATTTAACCTAGTGTGGAGTAAGTCATCTGTGTTTATCATCTGGCATTGCTTTTCTGTACTACCAACAAATAAAACTGAGTGAAATTGAGTGGACTGTTAGAAGATACATGGGTTGTAACAAAGCCTGGCTATTATTTGGAATGTGTTCTTTAAGTAGTCTGTGGCTTTGGGAAATGAGCCGTGGTCCTTTTGTATGCCTCATCAAAAACTGTCACATTTGAAAATCTGAAATCTTTTATTTCATAACTTTTTCTGAACACATAGTCAGATTCTGCGTGCACTGCTTTTATAACTAGGAGCGAGTGCTGCTTTTTCTACTTCAAAGAGCACACCTTAATCCAAAAAGCCATCAGTCTGTTGGTTTGAACAGTATTTCTGTGATCTCACAAAACACAAGCTTTGTTGAACCTGTTGCTCTGGTGCCACGTTAGTTTTGAACTAGTGTAATTCACTTATTTCATCAGTGGAACGAAGGTAACGGATTTACACCGAGGAAGAGCTTAAATCAGGTTCTTAATTTATGTGTTCCTCTTACCTGAGTGATCAGCAGACCTGAGATCTCTTTTCAAGCGGATGGGTCCTACTATGGTATTAGTTTTCCACGTGTATGCAGAAATAGCTCTTTTTTGCCTGGAGATACAGCCTTCAGTACAGCGAGAGTTTGGGTTTTTGCTGTCACAAATTAAAATATCACACTGGAGATAAACAGATGGAGAGCTCTGCAGGAACCTGAAGGCATTAAATTTGAATCTTCCATAGTGTTCAAGTGGTGGGTAGGTTACCACAGTGTCATCTTTATTGCAGCTGCAACAGAATTTACAGAGCTGTTAAAGTAGTCCACATACAATAATCATTCTTGCTAACTACTGTTAACTGTAACCATAGCATTTTAACTAGGGCATTATTTTTACAAGTTGGCACACAGTACTGTGCTTTTTTGCCTCTGCCCAGTGCAATGTGGTGCTTGTTTTAGCTAGCTCTGTTTATGTAATGCCTTTAAATTTCTGTGAAATTTAGCTTCCAACCACAGTGTACTAAAGAAGGTAAGTGGAAGAGAGACAAAAGAACTACCGTTGACATTTAGATTATATTTCCTCACATATTAGGAGACAGTCAAAATAATTTAGAGTCTTACCCGCTTCTGATCAAGTCGTACGTTAGCGATCCAAAATCAGGTTGTGGAGACGCTATACAGGTATCAACAAACACCAAAAGATTTGCGTCAGTGGAATGAAGACTGACTTGAGCAAAAAGGGTTTGGTTCAAGTCTACATAGTACGGGGACTCAGATACAGGCTTGGAGAATGTATCTGAATCATAGAATGACATGCTAACACTGTATTTTCCCACAGCAGTTGTGTTTTGGATTATATTATTTTTTGTTATGTAAATGACTTCTAAGGTTGAATTGTTTTCCATTTTGCATTTTGCAATGATCTGTACGCTCTTTTGACGGGTGATAATGTTGCCAGTTGCAGAGAGAGATATAACGTTGGTGTAAGTGATGCTATGACCTTCATCCTGTAAATGGAATCATATGAAGTGCTCAGTTGTGATTATATGAGCAGTGCTGTTGAAAGCAGTTGTACTAAAGTTACCAAGCCACCCAGCTATGTTTATCAGAGGCTCAAGCTACCTTTGAAATGTGAAACAGGTTGCAACCAAAAAACTGTTATCAACCCTCCTCCTGTTTTTTCAAAATGCTGAACCAACCTGTTCAGCAAAAAGATTAAGGAATACTGCATGGAGTGTGGGAAGTACCACAGCTATGCTTCAGTCACCCTTATCAAAACAATGCTATGAACTAGCTCTTGGGAGTCTTCACATCTTGGGGTTTTTCCCCTTTCCTTGTGACACCATGACAAGTGCCAGCTGTATCACTTGCAGGGAATGTTTGAGTTGCGTACCTAACATTGTGCTACTTCTGATAAACTGGGTTGGAGAGGGAATGAAACAGTTGGGGTGAATTTGTGTGGACTCCCCTGGACTTCCTTCAAAAGGCTCGTTGATCATCAGGCTCTTAAAGAGGAAAAAGGTTCTTTCTACTTCAAGACTGGAAGCAGGTAACGGGATGAGCTAAGTGAAAGTAAATCAGCTTGTTCACATGATATTCATAAACTGCTTTTACAAGCTCTTATCATTCATAAGCTTTTGTTAGGTTATTCACAGAACTTTTTCTCCCTTTACCTTTTTAGTTGTTCCACAGCTGGTTAATGGGAAGGAAAAGATCACTGAATCTGTTACAGCTGGACTGCAAGATGGATCATTCAGATGTAGGTGAGTTTCATTATAACCAAGGGAGGTCAGATAAGACTTGCTCAGAACAATTTTCATGCTATCTGAAGAGCATGTAAGGAGTGCTGCCATTGAAAGAGAAATTAAAAACCACAAAACCACCATGTTACCACAAACTGCTGCAGTCATTTCTCAATTGGTCTAGACACTTGAACCTGTTGAATGGTTCTTGATTTGTCAGTTTGAAATGGCTCATGCATGTTTAAGGTCATGCAGAAGTTGGAACAAAATTTCATGCTCAACTTAAAAAATGTTAGATAAGCAAAACCATATAAAACTCATGCTGAAAGTTCAATTTTAAACCCAGAAACACAGAATGAATTTCCCTTTATAAAAGGGAAAAGGAATCAAAGTGCTAGTGCAGAACAGTGGGTGAGGAAATTGATTTATGGCAGATATCAAGGCTTTAGAGGTTCGTTTTCCACTTCAGTTAATGAGAGGATGGGCATGCAAACATGGAACCAGTAAGGATAGTGGTCAAGCTCTGGGGGAAAGGAAATTGCAACACATCTAAACCCTGTTTAACTAACCAGTGCAGACCATTTACCTGAGTATCTAAGGGAACAAAAACATTTAAACTTAACCAGTCAAAAAAAGTTTATCTCAGCATCTCTAGGATGGTAACAATGCCTGCTTTGTCCAAAACAAGGAAAAACTGAGATTTTCAGCGGTGCCAGCCAGAAAAAAGGACCAAAAAGTGAAAGAACAGGCTTTCTCTCACAGATGGGTTTGGTAATAACTTATGCTCCTTAGGTGAGATGATGTGGGATTTTTGTATGTAAAGAGGGTTAATGACTACCATTAAAAAGACTTAAATCCTTAGTATCAAACATCAGTTCTTGATATTTGTAAGGGAAGGGAAGATTCATATGTGAGAACAAGAAACAGCATCCTATTCATGTAGTGAGGGTACTTACTGTTGGGCTCCTCAGGAGCTAGCAGTGGAGTGCTGGTATACTGAGCAGAAAATCCTCTGTAGGAGTTGGCATAGTCTGTAGATAACACAACTGTCATAACATTTGAAGAAGATTCAAATGTGGGCTGAGCAAGACCACATACTTTTCCTATTAAGCCAGTGTTAGTGGTGAGGCCATCATAGACTGCTGTGAAATCAAATTGGCAGTTTTGGTCTAGTTCCAGGCTGTAGACAGAGAAAAAATAATTACAGGGAAACCTGAGTATAGAGAACATTGCTCATACTGGATAGAGGATCCAGTGCAGATAAAGTGTCTGATGAATTCCAGTTGACTGAAACAACAGAATGGAGAATAAAAGAACACATAAATAGACATTATTAAAACTAAATAAAACATGGAAATCCCTCAAAGGCAAGAAATGCTTAATAAGAGTGTGATTCTGCTCCCATTGAAATAACAAACATTTTGCTGTAGCTCTCCACAGAAGCTGCATCAGCTATGTTTTTATAGCCCCGATACTGTATATATCGATTGCTACTTATTTACTGAACATAACCACACCTTCAAATACATATTTTTATATATATATGTAAATAATCCTGTATCCTAAAATAAAGAGCTTTTAAAGTGTAGGGTTGACTTAAGCAGGTCTCTGAAACCTCTTGTGTATGTCACTAGAGGAAGGCTCTTGCCCTTTTTATCGGTCGGCATGAGAGCTTATCTTGGTGCTTGCCACCCTTGATGAAAAGCACCAGCTGTACCGCGGTGGGTGGATGCCTCCAGGACAACATCTCCGTTCCTGGATCAGCAGATGGACCCTGAGCAGGACTGGTGAGAGCATACATCATGCTGCGCGGAGTTCATCATCTCAGAGGGCAGTGGTCAAGGTAACTATTTCCTATAGAATCCTATATGTTTAATACTGAATTCTTATACAGCATTCTGCAGTCTGAATATCTCCAGAAATGTTCTTGAAGATATCGCCCTTTGAATTAGCTTGGTCTTGAGACTTTCCTCCGTGCACAGTGTCCACTGATGCAGGGAAAGCCAAAAAAGGGCTACCAGGCTGCTATGTATGGGAGACCAACCCTGATAAAGTGCAATATGGGTCAGGAAAATCCATGCCAGTGTGGTGTCCTTATGCCAATGCATCCATTAGCATTTATACCTGGAATTACTTAAGCCAGTGCTATGTTACCTTCTTTGCCCAATGGCCAGCAATATTAAGGAAGACATACTTTGGGCAATGTTTGCTTTATTCTTCTTTTGACCCTCAGTCCTAAATTGCAATTACAGTACACTTGATGGTTTTAAACATGTGCCTTATGTAGCAAAAGGTTTATTTATACTGATGGATTTAAATTCAGATCATGCAGGCTAGCTTAAAATGGCCCTGCGCCTCATGGCTAGTCACCTGAAATGCTTTCTGCGTTCCACTGACTGGCACTGCGGTAGCTATAGGGTAGCGTATAGTGATGTGGAACACGTTGCAGTTACTTTATCATAAGAGTCAGCAAAGCACGTTTTAAAAGTGTAAAAGTTTGAAAGCGCTTCTGGTTCCTGTGTTTAAAGTAATGCTTTTAAACAGAATGAAAAAAAGACTAATAGAGCATTAGGGCATTTACTCACAAAAAATCCTGGAACTGTAAGTTTATCTTCGAGTTTTTTGCTGTTTGTATATGCCAGACACAGTACGTAAATTCAGGGTAACGTTCTGGGTAGTTAGGGCTGGTAAGTGTCCCGTTGGGACCAGTTAATTGTCCCCCACAATTTTCAATTTCTGAAAAGAAGAGTAAATATATTGGTAACATAACAGTATATGTAATGAGCCATAAAAAAATAAATTAAAGACCTGAAGTTATGTAACTAGCAGGATTGTTTCTTGAGGATTCCATTCCTTTGGAAATGATTAAAGGTACTAAAGATAAAACTTCTATAGAGAATGTCAGGTCAGGTGGATGTTACAAAATGAAGCCTGTTGTCGCTATGGTATATCTGTGAGGCACAGTGTAATGACATCTGAGATGGCTGTAGATGAGTGAGCTTTGATACCGTGAGCAATTATTTATATCTACGTTTTGGGTAAATAAGGTGTCATCTTGAAAAACTGGTAATGAAGATGCTACACCAACCGAAAGGAACCCTGAGAAACTTTATATTAGAGAAATCTGCGAGGCCTTGGCCATGATCTATATGGAAGTGCAAAATCTTCAAGTCTGAGAGAGATTTTAATTGACACACAAAGGTAGAGTAAAATGAAGTCAGCGGAAACCTCAGAAACACAAATGTAGACTAGAAATAGGGCACAATTTTTCAGCAGCAAAGTTAAGCACTGGAGCAGCATAAACTAGGATGTGGTAACTACTCTGTAAAATTGAAGCTTTTAAGAGCTTAATACCATGTCACTCAGATCAGCAGAAGCAAAGGAACTGGTCGCAAGCCAAGACTGATTTTGTCCGAGCTATTCTTACCTTTTAAGGAAAAATGTAAGGAGCTTGTTGAATGAAAATCCTTACTGATTTCTGTGACCTGTACTCGGCAGGAGTTCTGACTACGTGTTCGTACTCTCTTTCTGGGTAAACGCTATAATATTTGCAAACTGAGTAAATTTAGTAGAAGCCTGTAAGTAAAAGTAGAGTTCCATAATCCTGCCTTTGCAATCATTTTTTCTGAGTAAAATTTAACTTTTTAGGCTCTCTGCAAGTGCGCTGTTGTTTTGCTGCCTCTTTCCTTTCACTGATTTTCCCCCACACCATTCTCTAAGGCCTGAAGGACTGAGTGAGACTGATTAAAGATTCTGTTAATAGTCTGTAATTGCAGTCCTAAACTTTCCCTTAATGGCAACGTTTCTTTTAATGGTGCAATTCAAATGGTATTTAACAACTTACTTTTTTCTGGTGAAAAGAAGTAATAGAAGACAAAGAAGTTCCGTGTGAAAGCCATGGAGTTTGTAGTTATATGAAAAGTTAAACTGGCTGAAGACGATTGAAGTACTGGGACTGCATCAGTGTTGTTACATATTTGTCCAAGAAGAGGTGACTTTGTTGAGGGACCATCATATACTTTAATACTTTCTGTTTCACAGCTTGAAGAAGGAGCAAATCTATTGAAAAAACACAGTGAGAACTACCTAAGCTCACTGACAGATACACAGGCTCGTAGATAGATACACAAGTGGTGTTCCTCAGGGGTCGGTATTGGGACCAGCGCTGTTTAACATCTTTGTTGGTGACATGGACAGTGAGATTGAGCGCACCCTCAGCAAGTTTGCCGGTGACACCAAGCTGTGTGGTGCAGTCGACACGCTGGAGGGGACGGATGCCATCCAGAGGGACCCAGACAGGCTTGAGAGGTGGGTCTGTGCGAACCTCAACATCCTGCACATGGGTTGGGGTAATCCCAAGCACAAATACAGGCTGGGTGATGAGTGGATTTAAGAGCAGCCCTGTGGAGAAGGAGCTGGGGTTATTAGTGGATGAAAAACTGAATATGACCCGGCAATGTGTGCTTGCAGCCCAGAAAGCCAACTGTATCCTGGGCTGCATCAAGAGAGATTCTCCCCCTCTACTCTGCTCTCGTGAGACCCCACCTGCGTTCAGCTCTGGGTCCCCAACATTAGAAGGACATGGACCTGTTGGAGCGAGTCCAGAGGAGGGCCACGAAGATGATCAGAGGGCTGGAGCACCTCTCCTGTGAGGACAGGCTGAGAGAGTTGGGGTTGTTCAGCCTGGAGAAGAGAAGGCTCCAGGGAGACCTTAGAGCAGCCTGCCAGTGCCTAAAGGGGGGCTACAAGAGAGATGGGGAGGGACTTTTTACAAAGGCCTGTAGTGATAGGACAAGGGGTAATGGTTTTAAACTGAAAGAGGGCAGATTTAGATTAGGTATTAGGAAGAAGTTCTTCACTGTGAGGGTGGTGAAGCACTGGCACACGTTGCCCATAGAAGCTGTGGCTGCCCCATCCCTGGCAGTGTTCAAGGCCAGGCTGGATGGGGCTTTGGGCAACCTGGTCTAGTAGAAGGTGTCCCTGCCCATGGCAGGGGGTTGGAACTAGATGATCTTTAAGGTCCCTTTTAACCCAAACCATCCTACGATTCATTGGAGTCCACAATGCAGATTCAATACAGAGAAATATTTGGACACAAAATTATTCTGTGCTGTATTCTAATGGAATGAAACAGTACAAAAGCATCTGGAGGAAATACTTACTTAAAATGGGAGAAAATGAGCCTAATTGTTTGATTTACGTTCCTCTGAATTTGCCAGACACAGTTTGCATTTGCTTTTAGTTGAATCTTTAATGCTTTGTTGAGCTCATGAAGTGAAGCACCGCAGCGAGGTACACCTATTGAAGAACAGCAACAACAAAAATCAGCTTGCAAGGATCTATCTCAAGTTTCCTCTTGTGATAATGTTTCATCCTATGCTATGCAAAGACTCTGGGACTGTCCATCGTGAAACAGACATGCAAAATGTTGTACTATTTATTTTTTTGCATTTATATTACTGCAGTTTATGAAACCTGATGAATCAAATAGTAAAAGAATATTAGAAAATACTTTTTATCCTAATTTTCCTAGTAGCAGAGAAAAGGGTAGTTAGGGGAACACATATCACAGATGAAGCCAGTGGCACAACTGGAAATGCCAAGTCATATAGGACACTTCAGCAAGACTCTTCAGCAAGGTTTGTCGCCACAAGCGCTTCAAGCCTCTGGTCTTCCCCCTACACTCGATTCCTAAAGATCATTGAATCCAGGTCAGACATTCAGCCCTTGACTTAAAAGCATTTGAGAACCTACGCCCAGGGAATCAAAAACACTTTTCGGATTTGAGCTTCTGAAGGAGTATGTGTAGGATTACTGTGTATTTACTGCTGCATACAATTCTCATCCTCCATCTCTAAACAGGTACTGCTAAACACGAGAAGCTTTGGAGAATGGCAATGAAGATGATCGAAAGTTCAGAATAGCTTCCAGACAAGGAATAATTAAATGGACTGAAGTATTTCAGGTCAGAAAGGGGAGAACTAGGGCGGAACAGAGGTGCTAGAGGTCTGTAAATTGATGGAGAGCTTTAATATGAAATATTCTCTTCCAGTACAGTAACTCAGTGGCCTGGAATGAAACCAGTCAGTTGTGGTTTTGAAACAAAAGGAACTGGCTCTTTGCACGTGGATCTTTGCTGCAGGGTGATGTGGATGGTAAAAGTAAAACACAGAACAGTCAAATCCATGAAAGAAAAAGCCTTTGGTAACTATTAAACATAAAGAGCATTTCCTCTGTTTCAGAAGTCCTGAACCACATTTGCTGGTGTCTGGGAGAGTATTCTGGGGAAGTATTATGCAGGCTTGTATGCATATTCTTGCCTGAGCATTCTCTGTCGACTGTTTCTGGGTTCAGGATGTGGGGCTAGCTGGACTTCAACCCTGTTCTTTTGTGAAAAACCACACAAACCGACCATGGTTGACATCACTGGCGTCACTTAATAAGTTATGAAGTAGTTGCAGTAATGGCCATTGTATAGGAAACTTTAGAGAAAGTTTATAATCCAGTTTGAGCATAACATCTCCTTTCTCCTTTAATATTAATCTAAAAATAATAGTCTAAAACAGCAGGAAGAATTTCCTATATGGTGTATGCAGTCCCAGTTAAAAAGGTCAGACTCTCTGATGAACTCCAGAGGGAAAAGAAAGGTTTAGGAGAGACCTTTCTCGTCGCATGTGAAACCTCCTAATTGTAAAAGCATTACAAGGTCAGCCCTACCATCCCTCTGGACTGTTCTGTAGCCCAGCATCACTAGAGCAGCTCTGCAGCAATACTTCATTATTGTACAGTAGCTACCCACCATTAATCAGGGAAATTGCTGATCTGAGCACAGAATGGTGATCCTAAATCAAGCAAGACATGACTCTTTATTGCTTCTGATTGAACAAAGGAAAAATAAACAAATCTCCTTTAAAAAGCAACCATTTCCCAGTTAAGTCACTTTATTCCTGTTACTCCGATATAGTATTAATCTATAAATGCAAATTTCTGTTCCAGAGTAAAAATCTCTTAAAAATCAAGTTCTTAAGTTAAAAATTTGCCATAGGCAGTCATATATTGATTTTTAAAATTTATTTACCATTTTTAACTCTCGCTGGCACATTCGGGTGTTACTATTGTGCAGCAGTACGTTAAAAGAAGATGCACTTTTAGAGATATGTTAACATTTTTTTCCCTTCAGTTGCCTATACAATACCTATTGTGCAAAACCTAATAAAATTTCACAGGTGAAAAAAAGACTAGATTTCCATACCCGTGTATTCAGTTGAGTTGTCTTCAGCGAGAGCTAGAGCAGCGAACAGAAGCAGGAGAAGGAACTGTCTGAGTGCCTGCATTTTGATGGCAGCTAGGGTGGTTAGGCTTTTCCAACTTTTATACCCCCTGCTATTTCATAATCATCTCGTATTACATGGTATCATGGAGGGAGGGCTTAATCTCTCAGTTACTGTTTTCTTTTTAACAGATATAAATGAGAAAGTAACAGGTGTGCCCATTTTTTTTAATATGTACTGCATGGAGTAAGTTTAACTGTGCTTTTGTCGGCTCTCGTGGGTTCAAAGCACGTTTTTCAGTTGATTTCATTGAGCGTCTGTTTGGGTGTGTTGATGTGAGCAGGAATGTTCTGGAAGGGATTGACAGACTCCCTTGGGAGACACATTCAGCAGTTTGCTCTTAGTGCTGCTTAGCAGGAGCTTGGTTTTTCTCACCTTCATTTTGACACCTTCCCTTTAGATTACACTGGGCAAATCATTCCCTGTCCTCCCTGAGGATTCCTCAGGTTGTAAAGTGCGACTGTGACAGTAGAGTTGTCATAAGTAATAATTTCCTATTGCTGAAACATTTGTGGATGAACAAGGCCAGATTCATGTTAGTCACAGGTTTAAAAGAAGATTGCACTGCAACCACTTTGCAGATAAAAGTTTCTTAGTCCCACAGTAGAAGCTACCAAAAAAAGGAATCAGCCTTTCCTTCCCAAGGTGAGGAGACAAGCACAGTCCTAAGAGCCTCAATTCCTTCTAGCACGAGTCTATTGAGTATCTGTTCCAATGTATTTACGCTACTTTGGCTGTCTTTCCATAAGGACCAAAGCTCTTGAAATCCAGGCTATTTCTTACTGCAGCAGCGGATTCCCAATCTTTAAAGCTTCTCGAGGTTGTGATAGTGCCAGTGCCACAGATGTGCTGTTACCCTGACCTTGGTTTGGTGCTGTGCCTGTGTGATTCTTTCCAATACAGAGAGCAGGTACCCTACAGCTGTGCAAACAGGTGTTCTTGCAAGTTTACTAGAAAAGTCAAATTGCAATGCAGACTTTCTTGAAACAGATCCAGGTGCTTTCCTTCCATAAAACCAATTTTTTTGGTACAACCCCTTTTTTTTTTTTTCTTTTATAAACAAACTGAAATATGATGCATCTGTAATGATCCTATATTTCTAATCTCAGACCTATGCCTTATTTACAATTCTCTCTGATTTTTAACTCACTTGAAGGATTTTGAATGCAACTCTCTTCATCATGACAATGTACTTATCCTGCCTTTAAACATGGAGGCATTGAATACATGTATAAAGTTGTTGCATAGCATTTGAATTCGCTTTAGCTTCTGGAAATGCTAAATTTGCATTTACTCTGTATAGCCTTTCATTTCTTAAACCCACACACATACTTGCAAGGAATTTTCAAATGCTAACATCCATTTTGTGTGCCTTCAGTGCGTGAACTGTTGTGTGGATCCCTGCCAATCAACGCTGTGTCCATCAGAACCAAGAAAAAAATACCTATGGCTACGATAGCCTGGTAAGTTACTCTGGTAGTTACAGGTTGGTAGTCAAACTGTTTGGATTTACTTGTATACGAATGATTAGGAAATTTTCTTGTGCTGGAGATGATATTAAGGGACTAAACCCCTAAGTAGTGGCCCAGTGTTTCTGATGGGCTGAGCTCGTGCTCACACTTGAGGCTGGCTGGCAGCTCCATCTCGTCTCTGGGTGTTCAAACTGTTTTCAAATCTTGTGTGTTAAGCCCAAGTTGAGGTAGTGTGATGTGTTCGGATATCAGGTAATGCTGAAATATTAATGGCCCGCTTTGCATTTCCTCTCCTACCTCAAAAGAAAATGGCCAGCAAGTCTTCCTGAAAGTCCTTTAAGATGAGAATGACTGTAGGGAAGGTGTTTTACTATAGCAGATCCTTGGAAGAAATTAGTGTGCACTTTAGTACAAAGCAGCAAGGATTCAGCTGTTGTGACACTTATTTACAGGCACTTTCTCTCACTGCCTGCAGCTGGGAGTACAACAGCAGGGAAAATGTGATTTCAAGCACTTTAAATCATTACCTGTGTGAAGCAGAGCAGCAGAGTTACCAGCGTGACAGAGTTTTGTATGAACTAAGTATGATTAGGAAATACTCTGACTCAGGACGGGCATTATGGTCGTGCAGGCTGAGGGTTTTGGCGGTGAGCCTGCTCAGCCAATGCCAAGGCTTAACCACCAGGTGAGAGATTAGATCTGGAGCCTTCACGGGAGATCTGTGTGATTTTGGCAGTTGAGAGCTGGCTAAGTTATCCATGGAGAAGCTGAGTTTCAGAATGACTCTAGTCCCTTTTTTGAAGGGATGAAGCATAAAAGGAAAAGTTGCTGAAAAAAGTGGATTTTTTTTTTGTCTTGTGTGGCACAGCCTCTAGACGCTAGGCTTCCTTATTCAGTACAGGGCATCTCATTATGAGGTTGAGTAATCTGCACATGCTCGCCATATGAAAACTGAGTATTGGCCTTAAAGATGCTTTTCACAGGCTGAATTCACCAGAATATCCATATTTAATTCATCTCTTTCCCTGAGATGAATGCTGTACTCCTGTACAGTTCTGCAATTGGCAAAATGTGTTTCTCTATTATGAACTGAAAATTATTAATTTCCATTTTTTTTTTCACTAAGTCATTCCAAGGAGGGCAATTTAACATTAAAGTGCAGAAACACTTTCTTGGCTCAAAGTGATATCACTTGAACAGCTATTGAAAGAAAAAGGATGAAGCAAATGCTTATAATAAAGTAAATTTAGATGTACAATTTTTTATAGTTCTAATCTCCAGTAATGAAACCTGACATATGGAAGGATTATAATAGTTTATAGGTATTGCAGAGAGTGTATCTCCATACATGTACAATATTTTTTCCAAATATTTTTGAGTTCCTATTTAAGGTAATTGCTCAGACATTACTGGTTACGAGGGATGCTTATCCTTTCATTTATGTCTCTTCGAGAGCTCAGAAAACAGCACTGTGACATGTGCATCTGTAATGCGG